TTTCGCAGTTGTGATAATTTAGAATCTTGTTTTTCTTTAAGTGGCCTTTAGATATACAAGTTTATTTTATAATTCACTATAATACATAGTGTTCCAATTTTTCTGGAATTTTTCGGGAAAATTTTCCACTACTTCAAATTTTTCGGAAAATTACCCAACAGTACTCTTAACCCGTTCATGGGTAGAACTTAAATAGTACCGCACACAAAAATGTCGCTACTTCTCTTTGTAGCGCTTGTATTAATACAATATAAAATGTTCAATGTAAATAATTGAGTTTTGTCAGTACGTTGTTGATATTTCTCTATGGAGATGTAGGCGGCAACTACACAGAAAGCATTTGGAAAAAGTGGAAGTTAAACTGTAAAATACGTAGTTGGTTTTTTGAGATCCATTTAGCGGAACGTGGTACCCCGTAGTATCATGTTCTGATATTTATTTTTACTTTAAACGCTGTGACTATTAGTAAACGAGTTAAGCAAGAAAGAACCACGAGAAAGTGGTAATTCTGGCTTAGTACAAAGCCAAAAAACTGCTGAGATAGCTACGAAACCTGCACAGGTTGACGTAGAAAAAAATCCAAACTAACTTTTCGCTAAGTGGCGCTATTCATCATAATGTACCCTTAGTGAATAAGGTCACGTAAAAAGGTTTAAAGCTTCTACGAACAAAATTGGTCGATACACTTTTTTATGATCACATAGGAGAGTTATAAAATTCACATAGAAAAAGAATGTATATTAAATTGAGAAACGCTAATAGACTCGTCTGTGTAAAAGTAGCCAAATTTTTTAAAGTTTAATATATATCTTACAACCAATTTGACTACACTGGCCGTGAGAGGTCACTTTACATACAAATTTGTTCCTGTTGTAATGCCTCGAATTGGCGGCCCAAACGGAATCATAGTTCGTCGGTTATAGGTTGTCTCCCATGGTCTCAGTGGAAAAAATTATAAATTTTCTTGGCGTTTAACATGTTAATATTAAAAGTAAAATACATCTGCTATTCAAGAATAGTAGCCTAAACCAAAATAGTTCATTATTTACTTTACTACACAGGTGATATTTGTACTAAATTTTATTGGGTAGGTACCGGAAGTAATAACGTATAGCTTTACATTGGTTAAACATTAGATATATGGTATATAATTTGTCGCCTTTGTGCTTCAGATATGTTGATAGATAGTTGTTTTAACCATCTTTCTGATGAATTATGAATTTCTGAGATAAGCCGCTACGTCATCGAAATATCTAATTTATTGAGCAATTTTATTTAATTAAACTTTAAACTTTAAAAATGAAAGAATTTTGCTTTGTCATTGAAGTTATTAATAACGCGGGTCGGCCACTGTGCTCTATGAGGTAATTTTTTATTACTCATTATCTATGATAATTGTGTTAATTTTCGCAGAGATAGGTCACCAATCACAATTATAGACAATCTAGGTACTTAAATTAAAAATTGACGGTCATTACGTGAAGAAATAGAATTACGATGTTGATGTACATTCTTCACGGTAGGTCAATGACATTCTTACACATTTTTCCTACGTGAATATCCCTTAGACTTCCATCCTCTAAGGAATATCCCTTAGACTATGGAATATTTTTTTCCATCCCCTAAGGAATATCCCATTGCAATGAGTGACAGGATTTCGAAATAAATGATGCGCTCCTTGTCATACCTCATTTGCATTTCGGTAATTTTCGAGATATTGGCACCTAAAGTTTTTTTGCTATTAAAAAATGTCAGTGACGATAATTTTGCTTAACAATAAAAGTGAAACTAAATAAGGTATAAATAAATCGATTAGAGGGGGTTGTAGAACTCGCTGATCACAGAAATGGTAATTTTTTAAATTTCGCTATCTAAAATATCGTTAACGTTAGTTATGATAAAGATGGAAGTATGGCTCTCGGCAATCTTCAGATCTCCAAATGTAACCGAATACGTGTTTCCTTATCTAGTAAATTATTAGATTTATCATCCCAAACTCGAGTCATTGAAGCTAGTATGCTCACGTTAGTAATTTATTATTTACCGCCTTTAATATACAGTGTACTATTGTAGTCCAACCACGTAATTCATTTCTGTTTTGATTTTCATTTCAGCTAAAAACTATTTCCCTATCTCTATAATCACATTTACTTCCGACATACATATTATGGGAGCAAAAATATAAACTAAATAAACATCATCCGCCGGGCCTTAGCCATTGTTAACGTGCCCGTTATACTCGAGCCAAGCGACATGTCGCGAATAGATAGCAAACGCCCGGACGGAATGACTATCATCCGTTGAAGTTTGGGCCGGGCACTGGTGTCGGACGCCACATTTGCCCCACCCCATCTCCAGCACACCAGCAAGAGGGTTGGCTCCACAGCTGAGCTGGCGGAAAGAATAAAAAGTAATAAGTACCAGGATAAACCGACTACCTATTTACAGCCTTTGGAGTCGAAACCCTTGGCCCGTGGGGTTCCAGTATCATTCATCTGTACAAAATTTCATCGAAAAAATTAATAGACTGTCAAGGAAACCCATGCTACCTAGCCCAACGCATTAGCATAGTAATACAAAGGGGGAACGCTGCCAGCATCTTGTGCACCTTGCCGCGGGGACCCAATTTTATTCATATAATTTAAAAATCCTACTTTTATGTTTACTAAATAAAAAATAGTAAGTAGCATGGGATATAACTTTTCTCGATGATTTTGGTACATATTTAATACTGTAGTGTAGATACTTGGATAAAAAAAAATAAATAAATATAGAATCTCGAAAATTTGTGATATGTCATACTAAATAAGAAACACAAAATATACAAAAGAAATGTAGGGTAGGGTATGTAGGTACCTCAGTAGTGGTCCCATTTAAATTTGAAGAAAATATTCCCCTCTGAGGGTGGTAAACTGGGTGGGTGGTAAGAGGGGATGAAACCGTTTTCGCGCACTTGCCGGTAAACGATTTCAATAAAACTTTGCAAATAGATGTAATTCCACGAAGTTTAGAGGTCGCTTTTTTCAGTACTCTCTACTGAGATTACTCAAAAGTTACTATTATTAATTTAATTACTATTTAATTTAGTTTACGTAGAGCTTTTCTTATTTTAAATAAAATAAGCTGAGTGAATCTCTGGACCATTCTGGATCTGTACGTCCACCATTGTATTAGTAGAAAACGGATAAATCTTTACTTTGGAATTTTTCCACGCGTTAGACAAACTTGGTGATACATAGTAATGTAAAATGTAATCGATGTGTTGTAAACTCTTGAGAAACGCAAGGAAGTGCCGTGTGCTAATTACCATCTAATTACGTCGTGAGCTGTTAATTTTAGTACTTCCTACAGTGATGTCACCCTGTTAGAAATCTCTTATTAACGAAAGAATCTATGGAAATGTCCTTCGTGTTGTGTTGAGGGGATAATATACACCTCACAATATGCCACGTGTGTGTAAACACCACTAAATTATCTCTTCCTCAACCAAGACTTCATGGTGCTGGTAGTCGCTAACGGCAGCGTAAATGATTAATTGATAATTAAGTAGGTATTGCAAGTTATGTAGTGCCCCTGGCGGCCGAAAGCAGAACTAACACTTTATATACAAAATAATATATTATGATATTACGCGATGGTTTGCGTCTATGGGTCACTGTAATTACTGGTCTCAATCTAGATAATTCCTAATACTACCTAAGTGTAACGATTTGGACTACCTATTAATAGGGGCACTATTCTGACCACTTCCATCAAAATAAATCAAATTGATTTCTTAAATTAGTTGCACTATGAAAGAAGTTGTGTTGCATATTCCAAGGATTCGCACGAAGCACTTCCACATTTATATGGCGAACGGCTAAGGAGTAGAATTTCCTGACTGCAGACTTATTCCTTGAACGTTGACGTGGGCTTTTTCAAGACGTGATTAGGCATTATTTAGGTGTGCATGTTCCACGCATTTATATGTTATAAAAGTCTTTGATGATTTCTCAATGGTGCTCAGAATAGTGGCCGCTGGACCGAGGTTGTTAAGTTAGACAAAGGATATATATGTGTCATAGGGTGCGCTGGAATTAGAAAAGGCATAAGCGAACAATGCAGGTGATAGGTAGCAGTCTATTTATTGATAGAAATTTTCTGATGTAGATTGTAGCTTTAAAACACTTCCAAACGTGGCGATTCTTATAATCCCCCTTTCTTGTTGCAAGGGCCTTGGATCAATTGGTAAACATCTAAAAACTGACCGCGTGCGGTTGAGAGAAGTAGCAGATTTAGGGTCGTATTCTAGAACTCTACTCAATGCTCAAGTCAGGATTTGAGCACACTTGAGTATGATTTCAAGCACTGGAAATACGACCCTAATGGCAAGGACTTGAGTATGATTTTCAGTGCTCACTGCAACACTCAAGTCCTGACTTGAGTATTGAGTAGAGTTCTGGAACACGATCCTTAGAGTGCCTTTAAATTAGACGCCTGTAGAAGCTACAGTCGCGTCACTACTAATTTCCATAAAATAACGCGCAAAAGTAACGTACGTAAGACGCGACAGCGGCGCTCCTGCCGCGCTTCTGTACTCGTCTAATTCATAGGTTCCCAAAGTTTTTGGTTCACTAAAAGTGTACAAGTGTGTAGTAAAAGGTTAAGGAACATAAAAAAATTCAACGCTCACCATAAAAAATCACAAGGAAAAAAAACATAATGTAGTGGAATTTATATAGATAATTCAGGATTTTTTTTTCAAATGCGGTACCTACTGTAAACCTACTAAGCGCTTACCGCCTCCTAGGACTCTTCAGAGCCTACTAGGGGGCGGTAGGCACCAGTTAGGTAAACTATGTTCTAATTTGAAGGCGCCTTTATACTATGGATACCACTATTAGTGAGTGGAGCAGAACACTTCTCTAGAAATCATTCATCCTTGTATTGTACTTTGGTTCCATGGGACAGCGTACTTGTAGAACTTTGTTCAAAAAGCAAAATTTTCATAAAAACGTCCATATATTTAATCAAATATTAACAACAATGTAAATAAATTATCCCAAAGTTATCATATTATCAGTGGTTTCGGCATGCAACTGGTGGTTGCTAGAAGTGGTAGGTGGTACAACGTGGTGTGGTCCCACCAGGCAGTATTGCAGATTGCATCCAGTGTCGACCGTTGCACCGGTGTAGACTATGCAGTCTTGGAGTACACAACTGGGCACGAAATTGTTATAATTAGAAATAATTGAAAGTATGTAGAAAGGAAACTATTTTTTTAATTATCTTTTGTCTTAGGGAGTTTTCTTAGCTAATTAGTAATTTATTTTATTAATTTAACCCTGTCGATATTCGTTGGGACCAGACTTAATATTGAGTTTAAAAAAACATAGTTTCCGCGACACCTCAGTGCTGTTTAGGTCTTTTAAATTGCATCTTTAAAATGATTTATTTCAGTTTGGGGAGATTGCAGCTATTATATATAAAATGTAATTCCATGTAAACAATGCCAAATAAAAGCTTCGGCATTATTTTATTATAATTATTTCTCATAAAAGTTCACTTGTCACACACATACAAGGACACTCTAGTGGGTGACGAATTCGATGGTTCAATAAGTACAAATAAAAACCCTATTCGGTTCAGACGAAAAATGGTATCTATTTTTTTAACACTTACCCTTCTTTAACTGTAACATTGTTCATCAATATACAATTTGAAAGCCGTACTTTATTCTCAATGGTACAATTAGCACCAATAAAACTGTTCTTTATTGAAGTCTTTTCGCTGACCAAGCTCTTCGCTCCTACAGTACTGCTTTCATCAATTTGCTTTGTCTTAACATCACTGTCTGGATGTAACCTTTCTGATAACGCTGACCCCGTTAGTTCTTCCCATTGTGATAATATCTGAAAACATAAAATTAACATTTTAATAAACAATATTAATTTTACAACGTTGGTTTGTTTTTAAAAAAAATATATATACAGTGCTTCTATTTTCTCAATGTCCCCGGCAAACCTCGTTTTTCGGTTGTCGTCGGGTTTTATTCACTTGCCCTTTGCCTTCGGCATAGACCATACGTTTTCAATCGATTTGTTTTCGTTTTCATTAAATAAATTTAAAACTTTATTATATATTTATAACTGCTCAGACTAACAATTCTATAATTTTACAAGTTAATTTGACCACATTTACATTATTTCCTTTGAATAATCATATCCATTTGTTTGTATGTAACATAACACACAGTAAACGCTTCTGACACTATGTTATATCTGCACACTGTATTTGCCTATTATTGGGTTTACACTAGAGTAATTTCTGCAGTGTTATTTTATGTCCATGTTTAATAGTGTATTTCTGGTGGCGAATCTAATAAATAAATAAAATAAAAAATAAATAAATATTCGACTTGGAAGCATATAGAGTTGCTATTACATTTTTCTTATCAATGGGAGAAAAGCCGCTAAAGTCACAGGCATAATAGATAACAGTGTGTACTTGTATTTTTTACCATAAGTCGATACATTAAAGAAAAACAACAATGGTTATTTTCAAATCGTCCAAAAACGTGTTTCTGTGGCTTGTCAATCAAGAAATCAATGCAGATGAAGAAATGCATTCACATAATGACTGAATTGAAATAATTAACCGGAAAATTTTTAATTTTTTGTTATATAAAAGAAGCACACTTTGTTTACTTTATATTTTTGTTAACTTGCTTATTGACATGGAGTAAATGTTATTAAAAAAAGGGAAACAGTTTTACAGCTCTATATAGTTCACTTGGAAATCAAAACAAAACAACAAGAAAGTCTATTGTTCAAAATTCAAATGATTATACATAGGAAATGAAACTATTTTTCCGGATTTAAATCGCGTATATTTGTTTTTTCAAACAAACCGACGTTTCGGGGCCTTTACAGGTCCCATGGTTACGGTTGACAAATGATTATAGATTTTAAATGTAATAATTAATGGTATGGAAATTAATATTCGAGTGAATTCGGAAATCCGATGATTGCCGAGGGACATTGAGAAAATAGAAGCACTGTACGCTATTTAACGCGATAAAATTAATCTTTGCTGAGTTCAGAACTCTTAATGCCATGCATTCCCATGATTTAGGTTTCCTTAGATTAATGGATCTTTACACACGTGCGACTACATCCGGGGGTCTACTCTCGATATCCGTCCGAAACAATTAATGTCAAATAAGTAACATTCGCCAAAATTAAAAGACGAGTATCCAGTATGAAGCTTCATTCGCATCACGCGTCTTTTCATTTGGTCAAGTATTGCTTATTTGGCAGTAATTGTTTCGGACGGAGATCGAGAGTAGACCCCCTGATACAATCGCGACACATGTTTTTAATGATTCAACATAAGCGACTGCATCAACGCAGTCGCCCGTTGGCATTGATGCAACCGCCTATAAATAGTTGTGATGCAATCACGCGTTTATATCGACGCTGAAAATATTCTAGGAAGCTTTTTACAAGCCATATGTGTCCAACTTCTTCCAAAAGGTTATTTCTTTTGCAGTTCTGAGTTCAGTAACTCCAATTTTGTTAGTTTGCAAATATTATAAAGTATTGCTTCAAGGCGTATGTCAGTTTTTTATTGTAAATGAAGTATAACTCACCTTACTGTTAGCTAAATAGAATGAAGAAAGTGTATTAATCCTCATACCAAAAGTATTTTTATTTGGTATGTACGCATAGCACCTTAAAATATCATTACAATATACTCCTTTGCTGCCTAACTTATGGTCATTGAACGATGACATCTCTCGTATTTTATGTTCATACCCATGCTCTACAGCGAAATCGAAAATATCCTTCGTAGTGTCAATGTTCTTTTCTGAGGCACCTTTTTTATCCACTTGACTTTTAGGTTTCGATAACTGCTTTTTAACAATATATGGTACAAGTTCTCCTTTTACTGATATAAATTTATCTGAATCCACGAGGTAGTCTATGACCCATTTCTTCATAACATAGACATGTGCATCTAATAGTCTGCTATACATGCTTATAGAGTTGAATTTCTTAATCAAAATTCTAGGAATTGTTACATTCTCTTCAAAGTCACTGGCACTAGCTAAGAATACTAATCTATGAGTTTCCCTATCTATGCAGACCAAGTCTCTGTCCGGCTTCACTTTTGATTTTAGACCGGGAAGTTCTATCCATTCTTCTGGACCATTGTTGAAGAAAAGTGTAGTAAGAGAAGCATCATGTTTACGGTACAAATTCAGTACATCATTCAGGTCCACATTTGTAATCAGGTCCCCCGAAACAACCACTAAGTCTGTAGTAACTCTGTTACTAATGTTTTTCAATGAGTTTGCTGTTCCCCAGTCTTCATCGGATGGTATTACTATTAATTCGTATTTTATTTTCAAAGGGCATTTTTCTAAGGCATTAAGGATGTGTGATTTGTCTTCATCTAAGACCACAACCATTGTTTCTGCAAAAAAACACATGCACTTAAACATCAATATTAAATAGCTGATCAAATTAGAAGTTGTTTTGCAACTTGAAAAATAACTATCTGTAGGTGAGAGGTAAACAAACGACTTTAAGTATTTAGGTGTTTTTACAAACATAGATTTAGAATGCTAAAAATCACACAATGGTAAGAGATGTTGAGTCCTACTGTCTTGTTTGTTATTTATCATATTTTATCTGAAGATTGATTTTAAATGTCTAATTTTAAATGCAAAAAATAAGTCTAATTAAGTGCCCCATTCTCTTTTTATTTCTCCCCATTGTAAAAACATACTATTTGGCATTCACAGTTCTTTACCTACTAACCAATATAATAATTTGCACCCCTCACGGAGGAATGGCATAAGTGGAGTATGTCAAAAATGTTTATTGCTCCATTGGATACAGAAAAATATAACCCACATCCTCTCCAATTCTTGTACAGAGGATGTGAGTTTTATTTTGTATATCTTAGAGCATATAGGACTGGAGGCGTCATTGATAGGCAGTCCCCTCTGTCAAGGTACAAGCACAAAACAACCATCGCACAATAAACACTACTCTCGAATAGATGTTTTTTCATTTGCATTATCGAATTCACCGCGACAAGTGCTCCATGAAAAATGTCGTCTTGCGACATACAAACTTGCAAAAAAATCTCTGCTACATCCAGTCTAGCCAAGGATGGAATTACATTCCGTTTATTCTATTTTTAAACATTAATTACTAGTTTTCTATTTTAACACGTTTTTTAAAATGATCACATTGACTGAATTTATCGATTACATAGAAAATATTTGATTCGCTCTGGGCCTTTTGGAGGGAAAAGTGTCGTTTTTATTTTGACTTTCTATTATTTTGTGAAATCTAGTTTAAAGTGGAATAGGATAGTGCTATTGTGCCTTAATCGAAGATTAAAACGCGAAATTATACGAATCTCGAACTAAAATACCCGTATCGGCCCGTTCTAATCCAAGTACGCCGCCTCAAATTGCCTATCCCCTTTGTGGCGGCCATATTTACAGAAACATAATTAAACGAAGACATGGCTCAAAGGACTTGTATCCAAGCCAAAATTATTACTAAAAAAAAAATAGAAAATAATATACTATACATTTGACATAAGCATGCCTATGAAGTTCCTTAATTAACGACAGGCAACCACAGACAAAAAATGCAACACTTCATGAACGCTGTTTTTCCATTATTTATAGAGAAGCGACCGTGCTTTTTAGCCCCGATTTTTTCGATAGATTCGAAATTGATTTCTCCTTCGTATTGTATATTAAATAATACGTATTGTATATTAAATAATAATGTAATAAATTACAAATAATGAAAATAAATTGTAACTAATTGTTTTAATATAAATCATCATAAATCATACCGTCCTTTAAGAAAAAAATAAAAAGTACTTATACGAATTATACATACAATACACCTAAATTACAAAAGCTAACTGTGCTTACCCTACACGTAAGATATGCGCAAAAGACAGAAAGAGACCCCTTACGTCAATTTCAATTTTCGAACCACAAGCGATTGAAATATTTAGATTTAGAACAAAGAAACTATAGAGTTGATTTAATGTTAATCTTATTTTTAAAATGACTTTTTATTAAATGTTAGTAATAAATAACTAACAAAATATTGTTGTATTAATTTTATTGTTTGGAATTATCAATCAGAAGTCCGAAAATACATTTGCCCGAAATAATGTTTGCTCGAATTTTTGTAATCCCAAATGTATTTTTTAAGTTTATTTTAGGAATATTACAAAACAAACTAACTTATTATTTTCTTTGTAATAAGCAACCAAAATCCCCTGAAAGCAAAACGGTTTTGTTGTAAATCGGTTTTCGAGATTTTGAAACTTTGAGTTTATGTTTAGTTGGAATCTAGAACTTCGAAACATCGATACATTTCTTACAGCACGCCATAACTACCAACAGAGAGACACAACCATTTTCACATTTATAATACTTGTATGTACCTATGTATCTGCACAACTCTTATTACTTGAAATGAATTTGTGTAAAATTCAACATAATACTATAAAATTAATTAATATTGACATTAAGACTACTCCATCACAAGTACTTTTCATGAGAAGCAAATATGGTGCATTTTGTTATTTCCAGTAGAAGCTGAATATGGATAATTTTTGGGCCTTTGAATTGTGGCAAACAAAATTAAACAATACTGCAATGACTTTACAATTTAAGTAAAACAATACCACTGTTACACTATATAAAAAATTGCAAATACAAATCCTCTACATCCAGTCTAGACAAGAGTGGAATTACATTTTTCATATGTAAGTGATTAACCAGTATGTATTACATATCGACACTATCACATCGATAACTTTCCATATATATTATATTCGTGAGAATTGATTTATTTTTATAGGCCTATTCTGTGTATCGACATGACATGAATGTGTGTTTTATCTGTGTATTTGTAAAAATAAGCTAGTGTTGTTGATTTTAATATGTGTGAGACTATAGTGACATAACTCAATATTGCATTTGAGTGCACCTGTTTGTTTGTCTTACAACCCCCCCGCCCCAATAAGTGGCAGAAAGTTTTGTTCGAGAAATAACATTAATAAAGTGCCTCCCGTCCTATATGCTCTAAGTTGTATCTAATGAAGCAATAAACATTTTTGATGTAATTTCACTTATACCATTCTTATATGAGGAGTGCGAATATTAAGTCTGTGAAATTGTTGTGCAATAAAAGCAATATTTATGTTTGCTTTTTATATTGTACTTAGGACTTAACAGTGACCTCTCTAGGCTTTTACAACAGTGCTTGTGTTCAACCTTTGCCAGTCAACCAAGTGGCAATTTTGTGTATGATACCCAGTGACGGGAGAAGCAAGCCATGCCACCAGGTAGTAAGCAGCATGGTCATCCATAACAGTTGCAGTGTCACTCATAGCTACAAATCACAAAGATCTGAGGGGAATTGCCACTGCGCATGTCACTTAGTGACATAAGTTGGTAAGTCCTGTGTGCCTGTAATTTCACCACTACCCTTACCCTTCGAAATAAACTACAGTAATGCTGACATTACTGCTTGGTGGCAGAAATAGGTAAGGTACTTGCCTGGACAAACTCTTTCACAAGGAACTGTACTGCTACTAAAGAGCAAGTGATTTACTGGCAATGTCTGTAAAATTACACTCTCTTACTTTTTATCCTTCAATAGGTTGTTGTTATCAACTACAACATGCTCTCTATTTAACACGATACTGATAGCTCTATTTGCGGCTAATTTACCTTGGAAACCAATTTTTTCCAGCATGTTCAATGAGTACCATAGTATTGGGTATGGTCCAACAGGTAGCAGGCATTTTGAGACGTTTCCGCCCACATCAGGTAGCCGGGACCCTCGGCCTGCAGCCAGCACTACAGATTGAAACTCTAATATTTTATGCATATCCGCCTGGAAAGTAACAATCACTTAATTTAAATATCAAGCAGAGAGGTTAGAACTTACAAGTAAAAATGTGTTTTCTCACCTTTAAAACAGAAGTTACCTTTTAAGAAATTAGTAGATTTTTTAAATACTTTATTTAATTTAAACTAGCCAGCATTCATGTATTTCTAGTACAATAAAAGTGAAATTCTTTTGCATGATCCATACGTTCATTTGGTACAATCTTTCTAATTTGTGATTTGGTAATTGACAGTGACACGAGTAGATGACGCAGTTGTAGAGATGAGGAGTTATTTAACTCGATTAACTCGAGTTACTCCCACAACGAGTCAACTCGAGCTACTTTTTATGAACTAGCTCGGTTCGAACCATTTCAGGATTTACTATCCAATAATGAGTTTTTTTCCCACTCTTAAGTTTATTATAAGTACGGTAAAAATTAAATTTTTAACATCCAATTTATGTAAATAATTACTTAATTTGAATTTGTTCTAATTCTAAATCTTGGTTTTGTTTTTGTTAATGTTAAAATGTTTTCGACTGAAGGGCTTTGTATCCAGGTCATGCAATAAATTTTAAAAAAGTACGTATACCATGTTTTCGACTGAAGGACTTTGTATCCAGGTCATGCAATAAAAAAATAAATCGCTCAAGTCTTTCGACAGTTTGTCGGTTGATATGGTTGATATAGAAACTGGAGAATTAGCAAGTAATACTGATGCGTGTTCATTACGTCATACGTGTCATATTTCACATAATGTGTATTATATCATACATACATGAGTTGAAATATTCCTAAAATCAAGAGCATGTTTGTTGCTTTTGTGCCTCAGGAAATAATCAACAATGGCATTTTGAAAAAATATTTAGGGTACTATTAACGTACAATTTTTTGGAATAATAAATATTTTATAATTAATATATACTTAATAACTGGTAAGTAATTAGAAATATACCGAAAGACGAAATTATTATAAAATATTTAGCCATTATTACTGAGAATTATTACCTTCGCTTCGTGTGAACGATCGCCCTGGATCAGATGGGTCATATTCATCTAAAATGTAAATTTGCAGGTAATTTTTGTCACTAACATTTTTCGTGGTTAAAAATATAATTAAATACAATAATATTATGTTATACCGTTAAAATTATATACTGCTGGTATTCTTATGTCAAAAACCATTAATTTACTCTAGAATTTTAATAAATTATAATAGCTTTTTTTGAACAATTAAAATTTTAACAATTTTACATTCTATGTAATTTTAAATGTCACATCTCTCGGGTGTAGAACTCAACGGACCATTACAACCGGTTAGCATGCTGTTAGCAGATAAATTCATGAAGTTGACATATTGTGACTGTAATATTAATGTAGTTATTAGAATTTTAATAAATAATTACATTTTAAAACGGTAACGTTTAAAAAAATAATTTTAAATTACTGTAACAGTCTTTTTTCCGTTTCGTTACGCAAATCGAACGTTACAGATTCATTAAAAACAAATAATAATCAATTTTAATGTAGGCATAATAATTGTTCTATCAACGAATGTATCATAGACATATGCCTATTTTAAAACCTCAGCTGTGATTTTGATCGCACCTCAATTTCAGGTACATTTAATTTGAAATGGAGGTACGAAAAAAGAAGTAAAAATAATGTAAGCCTACAAGAGATAATAAATTTAAATGGAAATCCTGTGTATATATATATAGGTACTACTAGTGCTTTAAAACAAAAAGCTAAAAAAATGTATTCTGATTTTGACATAAACTAACGAAGGGTGAGACAACAAAATTATCGGCTGAAAATAAAAACCTTGACAACTTTTCTATTATGCCTAGAAAAAAAAATTAATTATGTTAAACTATTGTGCCCAAGTACATAAGTTCCGTTTTGTTATTTTTGTTACTTTCCGCTTCGTTTCTGTTTAGTTACAAGTACAATTTAAATGAATATGACCCAGATACATTCTGCTTCTATGAACAAACATCGATCTTGTTTTATCGTAACCTACATATTATTTGATTTACAAGCAATATACAGTACAAATTTGAAATAAAGTTTAATAAACTTTTCAACAATTCTTATCGGAAGGTTACATCAATAAATATGAAGCTTAAAAACCACGATGTTGTACAAAAACACCAACAAACTTTCAGCGAGAATAGCTATTAATCTCAACCATTGTAAAGAAATTTCCATTGTAAAGAAAATTTATATCAAATAAAACACGAAGTAGTCATAAACTGGTTTTCGGAAACAAAGAACTTTACATAATAAATAAAATTTAAATAAATAATACTTAGTCATCAGAGAAAATAAATCATTCCGACCCGAATTTAGCATTTGAAAAAGAATTTTGTGAACCTCCTTCATATAGTTGTGTTATGTCATAACTTGCACTTGCAACTGAATCAGGATGTTTGTCGTCTTGGATTGTAAGCGTCTTTGATATATTTGTTTTCGCAGTTAGAATGTTTTCTTCTTCACCCTCAGCTTCAATTATGTTCGTATCATCGTTCTCCTTGATATATTGATTAATGTATTCTTTTAAAATGGATGATACCATTGCAATGTTAGAGTTCTTTTTAGGTTTGTCGTACTGCGAACCCTTACCACATACAATTAGCGAATCTTTGTGAGATACAAATGATTCTACGAGATTGGCGTCGCATATACTTATTGAATCCTTCGGAGCCAATGTGTCTGTTACTTGATCAGCTGCAAATTGTTCGCTTTTCACACCTGGATGAAAACCAGGTTTTTGTGTTGGTTGTGGAACACAATAATTTTTTAGAGGAAACACGGTAATAAGCTCTACCTCCGAGTTGATAATAGTTATTTATTAAGGAAGACTGCAAAGTTGTTGTTTGACGTGAGTGCTTGTATTGGAACCTGAACAAGCGAAGAGTCTTAAGATTAGATGAGATATATTAAGATAAGATAAGAAGATTAGATATATTAAGATAAGAAGAAGAAAATAGAATCAGAATTTCAAATCACGATCACGAGACGGAAAACAACTTTGCCGCCGAGCGAAACATACTCGATAATTCGAGCCGAGTTAGTATCGACTCTTAGGGTCGTATTCCAGAACTGTACTCAATGCTCAAGTCAGGATTTGAGCAGACTTGAGTATGATTTCAAACACTGGAAATACGACTCTAATGGCAAGGACTTGAGTATGATTTCTAGTGCTTTGAATCATACTCAAGTCCTGACTTGAGTATTGAGTAGAGTTCAGTTAGACTCCTTCGCTTGCTCAGGTTTCAATACAAGCACTCGTGTCAAACAACAACTTTGCGGTCTTGCATAACAAATAACTATTTTGACTATAGAAATTGTGGTGCTATTAACAGGTATAAACTTTTACCATAGCTACTAGGGCTTTCACTTTTCACATCTTTTCAATCCCAGTCACGAAAATTTCGAGTTTCGATAAATTTTTGGCATTCTCGAGACTCGAGACTGATGTCTTCAATCTCGGGAATATTAGTCATTTAATTAAAAACTATTAAAAATGTACTAAACCATCAGCTATTTTTTAATCTGGCTAAGTGTACATTAAAATGTACTAATTATTATAATTTTATGCTGCAGGCCCAAGAAAATTTGCTCGCAGCTTTGAATGAAAAACGTATTTTTTCTAGATAACCCATGTTTATGTAAAATACGCTATGTATTCTAAATTCGAATGAAATTTTATCATTTTAATGTACACTTGAAGTTTACGTGATCATATGAATAATGTTTTCTGGGTCTGAATAATTTCATATATTATATACATTTTGATGTACACGGTGCCATAGAAGGTTAAATATTGAAAACTAAAATCGAATATATGAAGGGAACTTTACCCTTTATGGATGAGTTAATGGTACATGACTCCTCTCTGAAACATTCACACGATTGTAAATCTGCTTCTTGGATGCTAGTTTTTTGGACTTTATTGTCTAGAAAGCTCGCACGGGCACTGCTTGGCTGAAGACTGGAGCGAGCAACACTATTATACAACAGATCTTCGAAGATATCAATAGCTCCCGAGTCCTCTACTTGTGGTGCTAAAAATTTCTCCGGTGGCTTTTCATTACATGGAATGCAAGGTTTTTCTTCAATGATTTCATCAATTTTATACACCTGAAATACGAATTTTTAAAAATTCAATAAAAAAAGACTTCAAATCCCTGTTAAAGCGACAAAATTCAAAATATAATTCACCTTGCCATCGGTGCCAGTCATAAGTTTTGTTTCTCGTCTTAAAGAATTGACTACGATTGCAGCTTGCATTAGATCCACATTGTTCATTTTAGTATGTGATCCTCCGCAATATCTTGTACATACCTTTGTCCTTAAGAAAATAGAGTTTAGTGATTTATAATCAACGCAAAATATCATTTATAGCTTTACATATATAAGAGTCATGACATACCTTGATTTTATTGAAAAGCACTTCTCGAACTGTAAATTAAATAGCATTACCAAAATTTACCAATCACTAAAAGTTACCTTAATTCCTTTGGATGTGACATCTGGAATTTCCGACAGCATATTCCATGATGGTCACCGTCCTGGTTTGGCATAGTTTTATTTTCTGCGTAACCAGTAGACACTTTAGACGGTTGAGTAACTTGATCGCCTATACTTGCCGTTTCTTTTTGAGGAATTTCAACACCTATTGACTGTGGTCTGATTGCAGGCAATATTGGAAGAATACATTCTTCCGTGTCCATATATGCAGGAGCAGCACATGATAAACATGTCGCATCTCGATGAAGCTTTCTTGCCAAAGCTGCAGCTTTCGGCTCTCCAACAATTTCAGCTATGTAGCTGATTTTGTGTTTTAATTTTTGCAGATTGTTTTTTATACTAGTGCGTAATAATTCAAGAACTTGAATGTCAACTTTTTGGTCTAGTTTATCTTCGAGGTTTTCTATAGCTTCCTACAAGCAGAAAAATTATGTAGTAATTTTAAAGGACCAATTTGTTACAAAATATTACATCGTTATTTTTGCGTTACATACTTGCCATACAATTTCTTCATCGTGTATTCTTTTGCGAATAACATCCGCGTTTTTTTCAAATTCCTTTATATTAGCGACAAATTCTTCTTGAGTAACCAGACCATTTAAAAGTTCTATGCCTGCTTTATCACGGAAAGCGTCTTCTACTTCATCGCGATCCGCTTTCGTATCACGTAATAATTCAATTTCTTGATGTATATACTGAAATAAGAATAAACGGGTCAGTAAAATAAAATAACGCTAAATTTGCTCCTTACTTGGTGTGAAATGTTAAGAGAATTAAACCTATTGGTAATAATTTTAAGAATATATCTTACTTCTAAATTGTGTGAAAGTTCATCTTGAACCAGAAAGATTTCTTTTTGTTCAACAATTCCTCTATCTATTTGATCTTGTAAATTTCTTATGTAATTATTTAGTTCCACTGAAACTGGATTAACGTTATCGTATGAGTTATGGTTTAACGGTTGTCCATTGTGTCATTGTGAATGTTTGAATCTAAAAGTAAATATTATGGCCTCCACCTACTTAATATGAATTTGTGTTATGCATTTATTACGTATTGCCGACAGGCAATTTTATTATTTTATTATTGAGATCTTTCTGTAAGAGTCTAATATCGCTTTGATCTTGAAAGATCAGGCAAGCAGTAGTAAAACTTGTATTTTCATTATAAAACAATAACCAATCTATCGATGAAATTGTTTCTACATAATGTGCCACTCTAATGTATTAATATAATGCCCGATATTATTGGGACAATGGAGTATAGGGATTATTACGTTCGGCCTCTCCACCGCCTCTATTTGCCACAGCTTCAGATACTTCTTCCAATCCGGCTTCCAGGTCCATTTGCATTTGCGTCAATTGTTCTCGAAAGATTGACACCTTCAATGTAAGAATTTACATTCAATGTTTTTCAGTTTTTGAAATTCCATGGATCGAGATAATCGGGATAAAGATAACGCTAGTAAACTAATACAAAAGGCACATAATATGATTAATTAGTTTCTTGACTTTGATATTTTATTTTTGCGCTGAAACACGTTCATTGTAGTCGTGTAAGTATTTTTTTATTAGTTATATTGCTACTGCAAAAAAGAAAGGACATAAATATCAAACTAAAAAGTTTACAAGACGTGTAAAAATAACCAATTTATAAAAGTTTTATTTCATAACTATCTTTACGTAAACTATCCATTTTAGGCGAGGCATGAAAATTCAACACAACTAAGTCAGCAACAACAACATTTTTGATAAAATTGAATTTTAAGTTCTTGCTTTTTACGCCAATATATGAGGCAACAGACGCTGATTTAACTCCAGTCAGGTCGAAAGATTTCTTCTTTGTATTTGTTCGATCTTTGTATCAATAATAATAACTGACTAGATGAGTAAAAACATCATGATATTCAATAAAATAAATTTTACGAACATTCATCCTCGAAGTATCGGTACGTACAATCAACAGCACATCAAGCTATGCACAATATTGTCTCGAGTGCAATGGAACAAGATTCGTTAATGTGTAGCGTGATATGCTGCCGTCTGTACATTACTCTGGTTGCAATTGTTACTAGCAGGTAAAAATATGATACGGGGCAGCTCATATACACAATGGAACTTTACCTGGGATGCAAATCCTAAGTCTATGGCATTTAATCGATTGATGTATTTTTCAACTACAGATCCCAATTCTTCAACCCGTTTGTAGGCGCCTTGAGATTCATGTACTGTTCTTTCTGGTCAAAAGCAAAATATACATGAGGTAGGTATACAGGATACATGGAACTAGTACAAAATTGATGCAAAAGAAAATTGCCATAAAGCGAGTGATGTTTCGCTTGTCTGTACCTGGATTAATAATGGGTATAGCAGAAGAAGCACGAGATTAAACGAGATCTCTCAGAAAAATATGCAATGTACCAGAGCGAAGAATACTGTGGGAAGTGCATAATGTGGTCTGAAAGATGTAGTGACAAAAATAGAAAAGCGTGTGTTGCGGTGGTTTGGACAAATGGAACGGATAAATATGATAAATGTACATTAACGAAGAACATAAAGAGTTGCGTGAAAAGCATCATTGGAAGAGGACGGTTACGAAGAATATTTTGAGGGCTATATGAAAAGACCGATGAATGTAAGTGATGCAAAAAATGTTTGTTAGGATCGTGCTAAGTGGCGATCGACAGGCACTTCTATGAAAATTCAAAGGCGTGAATATAAGCATAAGTGTTAGATAACCGCACGGATTATCTGAGTCCTGATTTTGATTCAAATAGGAATCGATCCGATCGGGTAGTCTCGAAATGAGATGGGTTTCTGAGCGAGAACATGAACCTGATTCCTACTACATCTTTCTAATTTGTGAGTTTAATCAACTATTGTTCCGATTAGAAATGTCAAGTTTTCGATCGGCCAGTTGTGAATAGCAATTATGCGCCTCGACTCGGAAAAGAAGCAGTTTCCGATCGGGTGAGGCAATCAAAATCAAGATGCTGATCTCAGTCTTGGGAATTCTATGTACCGAGTTCCAGAGCATCGATTATTAACTCTGGGGCACTTAAACCTAGAACGCCGAGACCAGAACCAAGTTGGTTTGCCAAACTGGTCCTAACCCGGACCCTTGAAATCTAACGTCCACAATGCAAACCGTTATGCCACCGAGGCCGCCGAATTAACGCTGTATGTGAAGTTCTTTGACCGTTAAATTACAAATGGTCAACATTGACTTAGTTTATTTTAACAATAATTGAAGAAATTATCGAGTGTAAAATTACCCAGTTTTCTCAAAATTTCTTTTGCATGACGAGAGCTTTCAGCGATTTCTTCAATTTCATTATTGACTCTAGTGTATATTTCTGTACTTAGTTCGTTTATACAAGTGCTGCAAAAGAAAATTAAAAATATCTGTAAATATTCCCTGTATTTGCTGTTTATTCCTTCTTGACCATATTGAGGCGAAGATCAGGCGCCGCCTTTCTGAACGCTTCAGCAGATATTTAAATTTTTATAAGATGATCATAGATTTTCAAAAACTTTAAAATCTAAAAGTTACTTTTGGTCTTTAGTAACACTTGTTTTGGCTATAATATTTATCTTGTCAATAGTGGTCATTGATTTCAGAACCCGTTCAGATCGTCCTTGTCAAAGTTTTCAAAACATCATGCTTGTAGTAAATATTTATTTATGTATGTACCCAGTTACGATTTGTCTTACCGTAATTGGTCATGCGTTACAACATTCTTTGTTTCGTGTTCATCTGGCATTGCATAGTTTCCACCATACTTCCTTGGACTCGATGATTTGCTTGAATACGGCTTAGAAGAAGTTGTATGTATAGTGTTAAGGGATGATGATTCCTTTGAATAGTAAAGAGATACAGGATTTTTATAACGATAAATTGATTTAAATATTACAATACACTACTAAACCTCTACTACACGTGTATGTTACAAGTATGCTAATTAAATTATTTTTCATCCAACCAGAACGTTAAGGAAAACTTATTGGACGTTGTATATATTTATTTGACCAAAGATACAAAGGTATCCAATACATAAGTTTGTACCTATGTGTTGGATACCTTTGTATCTTTGGTCTGTTAAGACTGTTTTGATTACATGACACACTCACATGGAGTCTGGTGAGGTCTGTCAACATTTCCGTAATGTTCTCTATTGCCTTTTCAGTCGCTTCAAGTCGAGCGGACAATTTTAAGGCAGTCATGGCATCCGTTAAAGAAGCTCCACCTTCGCGAAGTTCTTTCATAAGCTTTATGTTTTCCGGGAAATCCGGAGATTCTGTTTGGAATTTGTTTTGAAGGTCTTGAACTGCCGTTTGTAAGTCTTTGAATTCTTGTTGTGATACAACAGCTAGATTACGACTTCCTTTGTGTCCTTTGAGCAGAAATAAGAAGTTATAACGGTCTGTCGATTTTATAAAATATCACGTTCGAAATGCATCATAGGACTTACTGACAGTTTCATCTTCTCGTAAACTATTTTCAACTGTAAAAGTATTTTTATTTCAGATATGTTCTCGTATAGTAATAATTATAATAAAAATAATGTTGTCTCACCTATAAGTAGTTTTTCAAACTCTAAATCTGTAATGTAATGAAAATGTTTACATTTAATTGAAAACAATGCATACGACTTGTTATTTAAATGTATACCGGTTCTTTCCACAGAAGCCATCGGGGTTGGTGACGCTATTCTTTCTTCATGAGAATCGTGCCTCTGTAAATCAGGGTTTATTTACTTTCAATAACAAATATGATTATTTTTATTTAACTTTTACGATTTTCACACATTATTTGATTTTTAGTTCGGGATTTAATCATTTGTATATAACATATTTTAATAACTTCGACGTTTCGGACGTCTGAAACGTCAAAGTAATTAAAATATGTTTTATACATGATTAAGTCCCGAACTACAGTTTGGGATTTGACAGATCGTGTGATTAAAATGCATTGTCAGATTTGATTCTATCACTAAAATCGTCCTTTACCTGGTGAATGACACGAAGAACAAGTTCTCTCTGTTCTTCTAACTTTTCTAGAAGATTATAATATTTCTGTAATCAAATAAGTTTAATATAATAAATCTCATGTAAAAAAATACTGCACAATAATTTTGGAACACTACCTTTCTTTCTTCTGACGTGAGTTCAGAACTAGATGAAACTTTATGTTTTAATAACTGTGTTATTTTTTGTTCCGCTGAAGTGGTTGTCATGGTATCAGAAAGGGATTTTCTAAAGGATGAATTCTCGTTGGCCATTTTCATTCTAATTTTATGATTCGAATCAAGATTATCAGGAGAAGCTTCAGACTTTTCGGTGGTTTCGTCTCTGGATCTAGTATTTTTGTTATGTTGGACTTTTCCTTCTGTTGTAGCCTTAGCATGCATAGCATGAGTTAAACTTTTCCCACCTAATGAAACGTTGCCATCGGGGAATCCAGTTTTCCTTCCTTTTGCTACTTTATCAATTTTTTTATGATTTTTATCGCCAAGCTGAACTTCAGTTACAGTTATTTTCGAAGAGTTTACTGTTAGTGTTTCTGATGGAACTTCAACTGTAACATGGCGTTCAAGTATTCGCAGTTGTCTTGCCAATAAAAACAAGGTAGTTTGTACAAGTTTGAAGTTCACCCAATTTGACTGCAATTTAAATAAATATTGTACTGTCATTACTAGATAACTTTGACCGAACTAACCTGGATTTTTATTAAAATCCATTGACTAGTAATATGACCTGTTATATGTAATGAATACTAATTTCAAAATAACGAATATCGTACTCACTTCTTCACTTCCAAAAGACCTCTCTATCATTTCTTTAACACTCATAATACTTGTAGTAGACATGTTGTTATTGTCACCAAAAATATTCAATGCAATGTAAGTATTTATATTTCAATATTTGTAAAATTAAGGGGCAAACTAGTTGGTCTTGAGTTTAAAAATAAAAATAGAATGACGTCATAACAAAATTTTAGAGACATTTATAAGTCCAGGTATTTATTAAAACTTTTAAAAAATACTGAAATAAAATTCATGTCACATTTTCGTAAACCTACAGCATTCTATGGTATTTAATTTACGAAAAACAAGAACCAGCGTTTTAACTATTTTTAATAAGATAAAAACTCAATTACAATTTAGGTAAGTAACATACATAGTATTTAAAAAAAACATCGACTACCTATTATGCCAAGAAAGAGGAGAGCTTTTTGTCAATTAGAAATAATTAACACAATTAAGTAAATAATAAAATTTACGTTCTGGTTAATAACTTCCTTAACATGGACAAAACAAGGTGAACTAAGCTTAACACCTAACTTAAATATATAAGCTAATTAAATTAAACCACGTAAGCTAAACAAGTCACTAAGAAAATTAATGTTTATTACTTAAATAAGAAATAACGCGCAGAAAGTCCTAAGGATTGGTATTAAAATCAGGGTCATAACAGATAAAACTTAAAACATGGAACTACCACTTATTCTGCCACTTAGCGAAACGCCAATTAATCACATTACATAAGAAATAATGTATATAAAAACCAAGTGTTGGTGTTAAAATCACCAATTCAATAGCAGTTAAAACCTAAAACGTGGAACTACTGCCTACAGTTGTCACTTAAAATGTAAGCAAGTTGGTAACATTAAATAACACACAATGCTCATAAAGTCCAAAAAAAGTTTATAAAAAAGAAAGTACACATTTTGGTGCTAGAATGAGGGTCGTAGTAAATAAAACCTAAAACGTGGAACGTGAAACTACCACTTAAAATTGTCTCTTAAAATAAATGAAAGATAATTACGTGAAATATGTAATAAAGTGTTAAGTCTTGATAAATCAGGCTCGCAACAGATAAAACGTAAAACATGGAACTATCACCAAACTTTGACACTCAAAATACATGAAAGTGAATTATGCAAACTAAGAAATAAAGCGCATAAGCTCCAAGACTTGGTGTTAAAATCAAAGTCACGGAAGTTAAAACCTGAAACGAGGAAGTACTACCTACAGTTGTTACTTAAAGTAATTAAAGATAAATTACGTGAAATAAGTAATGAAGTGCATAAAGTCTAACAAATAAAAAGTAAAACGTGGAACTATCACCAAACTTTGTCACTTAAAATAAATGTAAGTTAATTATGCAAACTAAGAAATAATGCGCATAAACTCTAAGACTTTGTATTAAAATCAGGGTCGTAGCAGACAAAATGTAAAACATGGAATTATCACCGAACTTAGTCACTTAAAATAAATGAAAGTTAATTATGCAACTAAGAAATAATTCGCATAAACTCCAAGACTTGGTATTTAAATCAGGGTCGTAGCGGATAAAACCTAAAACGTAGAAACGTAGTTTAAGTAACAAACCACCTAAGTTTGTTACTTTTAAATAAAAAAATAATAATTACGTAAAAATATGAAATAATGCGAAGCTTGGTATTAAAATCGGGGTCGTGACAAATCCTAAAACATTGAACTACCACCTAAGTTTGTCACTTAAAATAAATGAAATTTATTACGTAAAACAAGAAGAAATACTTATGCCCATTAAGTCCACGGCTTGGTATTAAAATCAGGGTTGTAGCAGATAAAACATAAAATGTGCAAGTACTACCTAAGTCTGTCATTTAAAATAAATGAAAATTAAATACGTAAAATAAGAAATAATGAGCACAAAGGAAATGAAACTATTTTTTTCGATCTAACTCGCGTATATTTGTTTTATGAAATAAAAAGTCAGTAGTGCATATTCAGCCTTGACCACGGGACCTGTAAAACACCCGAAACGTTGGTTTGTTTGAAAAAACAAATAGACACAATTTAGATCCGAAAAAATGGTTTCATTTCTTTTGTGTAACAATTGCGAAAACCTAAGGATGGTTACACACGGCGACTTATAGCATATATTTGCGGTGTAGGTACAGGCGATTGCATCGGTACAAAGGCGCGTAATCATTTCATCGATGTAATTGTTTATAAATCACAAGGGTAGTAATAAAGGTAGACGATTAGCGACTGCGTCGCTACTGCATCGGGTTTGCATCGCTGCTAAAACTCGCCGTGTGCAAGAGCCTATTACAATGTCGCTCCTAATACGTTCCATGGCAATGTAATTTGAACCTAACTACTCGTAAGTGAGTTAACGAAGTTGTCGTAAGAGGCCGCGTAAAATATTTGATAATCTTGTATGGCAAATTATACAATCCTGGGGGTGATCACAAGATTGTAACATTTTAAATTGCAATATATTTTATGCAGTCGTTAGCGACAACTGTTAGGTACCGTAAACTCATTGTAAAGGTACTTAACTAAAATACAGCACTTGTGTTGATGGACGCGATGATGTTTAAAGACGTATATTCAGCGGAAATTCATTACATTTAATACAAGGTTTTATGTTTTCCTTTCTTGCGATGTCCACCTGCAGAATAGTAATTACACAGTAGAATATAACCAGAAACAGAGACGAAATGTTATTTAATTTGTTTGTAAAAACTATTCTGCCAAATCATTACGGCGACAACTGCGCTCCGATTGGCCAACCCGAATCCGAAACAATTGACGGGTGCCGTCAACTGTTTCACTTCAAATCGACCAGTTTAACTTGGGCTTTGCTATAACGGACGAAAATTAAAAAAAATCATATTTAAATACCGATGAAATGTGATTCCGTTTGTTTTGTAATTAGATGCTTTGCTGTTTTTCCCACACCATTGAATGGAACAAACCCCCATTGTTAGAGGTATTATCTTTATTACAATAAATACAGAATATTTTTGGAATATTCTGTATGCACACACAGGTCAGTTGTTGGCGTTGTACTATTCCAGCTTTCTAATTGGTGATTTCAGCGCAAACGAGAGTTGATATTTAAAAGTGATATTGCCCGGGATGGTGGATGGGCCTTATTTCGTCACTATTTCTGGTTATATGAAGCGATAAATAGTAGTAATACATGAATATTTATCTAATATTCTGCTAATTTACGTAAACGCCTAAGGCTGCAAACTGGACGGCAAAGACGTATTTTGATGACTCGCGCGACTGATCAAAATGCCTAGTACCTCAGTACTGGTCCCATTTATATTTGAAGAAAATGTTGTATCTCTAAGGGTGGCAAACTAGTGGATGAATGCGGTTTCGCGTACTTTCCGGTAACCGATTTCAATAAAACTTTTTTTAATAAAAAAGTTATTCATATCTTCATCAATTGTCTATCTGCGTACCGTGCAGTACAGCAGCAGCGGTACTCATGTGAATTTATTCAAACTCACTGGATCTTACCTATGTCTATGAGTGTTTTTTAAATTGTAGTGTACCTTTTCAAGAGGTTTGACGATTAATCTCGAAGCACTTGCCGTCCGAGCATGGATTTTCGGTACTCCACCGCAAAATTTGGAACATGTCTTAGCTCTGTAAAATATTCACTTTAATTATAAGTAACAATTTAGCATCCTAATATCTAACTCAAATCTGAATAAATTCATTTATATGAGTCAATCATTTGTGTTGTGACTTCTTCTTTTTTTCCTATAAAGGGAATATATACATTGTAATTCTTTCCATCGTGGTGAAAGAATTTGCCAGTCTGTGTAAGGTAATCGCCGATTGTTGCCCAGGGAGCGTCAGAAATACATGAAGGGTATCGTATGTCGTGCGGGGAGACTCCTTACGTGCACCTTCTTTTTTGTGGCTGGTAATTATTACCATCCCGTAACACTATCTACATGGGGCGCACTATAAGTTTCCGGAATGAATAAGAAAAAAATATTATAAATGGTCAGAAATGAATTTTTGTTTCTCAAAATATTCTCCGTTAGCGTTAATGCGCTTTTTTATACGAATGAACCAATTTTGAAAACATCTCCTCCGTGACAATCTCTGAAATATATTTTTCATACTCTTCGACAGTCTCTTCAGGTGATGAAAATCGTTGACCGCGTAACGGTTCTTAATTTTTGGGAATAAATAAAAGTCACAAGGTGCCAGGTCGGGACTTTACGCGGGATGGCTCATAAGGTCGATGTTGTTCACGTTTAAAAATTAATTTGTCTGTCTGGCCGTGTGAGAACTGGTATTATCGTGGTGCAAGATGATACGGCGTTTACGGTTATTTTTACGGAGGTTGTCAATAACTTCCAACAAACAAATGTTCGTTCAATCACTATTAACGGTACAACGATTCTCCAAAGCAACTGTAGCTACGTATCCAGTTTTATTTAAAAAAGAAGCAATCATCTGCTTAGAGGCACTATGCACGCGTGCCACTTTTGTTGGTTTCGGCTCATCTCGAAAGACCCATACGCTCGATTACTGCTTTGTTTTGGCATCGTAACTATAAATCCATATTTCGTCACCTGTCACTATGTCTCACACCAAATTAAACGCCCCTTCGTTGAATCTGGTAAGCATGGCATTGCACCAAGTGACGCGATCGGTTTTTGAAACTCGGTCAAATTGTGTGGGATCCACCGAGAGCATAGCTTTTTCACAACCAAATGTTTGTGTGTAGTGTTGATTGTATTATCTCATGCCTATGCCTAAAGATGCCCGATTCTCATGGTATGTCACATGCCTCTCTGTTTTGATCATACACACACACAGCATAGCGCACAATATCGATGTTTTTGTTGTTCACAGCAGTGGACGGGCGACCATCACGAAATTCGTCACTGAGACTCACACGACCGCGTTTGAATTCTGCAAACCAGATATAAATAGCCGTCTTGGATGGAGCATCATTGCCAAAAGCAGTTTGAAGCCGAGCGAAGCTCCGCTGAGCTGTCAAATTACACTTAAAGTCGTAGAATATCATACTACAAAAATTTTCACGAGCTAAATCCATGGTGATGTAGACAACCAATTTCTAAAATTATTAACTGCCTCCGTGGCCGAACGGTTACCAGGCTGGACTGCCA